AAAGGTATTCAAGATGGAGAGAACATAAATTAAATAAATAGAATAATATAATACATATTAATATTTAACTATAGTGTAGAGAGCTTAAAATGATTTGATTTGAGAAGTATTTTAATTTAGTTTACGGAATATTATAATAAACTGAAATTTCCCTACATTATTAGTATTAAATATGATTTTAATCGATTTTATTTTATTGATGGTGCACAATATAAAATTCGGTTTAAATAAAACTTTATCTTGTGCACTAGAGATGCGTTTCCTTATTGCAATGTCTTGATTGCAGTTATTTATTATTATTTTTTTAATTAATTAATATTATTTTATTTTTATAATATTCAAATATATTCAGACAAACCAATAGCATAAAAAGATAAAATACATATACAATGTATATTATACATACACACACATTTATTATGAAGTAATATTAAAATAGCGTATAGTATAATATAGTGTTAGAAAATAGTAAAAGTATCTACTAAAATAAAAATAATACATTTTTAGTGCTATGAATTATTTTTATATTACATTATTATCTTGTAGTATCATGAATGCTTATTTTAGTTTTATAAAACTATTATGATTTTTGAGTTGATTCCCTTTTAAGATTATTTTAAAGACGGTAATAATTGTTTTTGTTAGTGTTTTATGGTTACTCCTACTTAAATGATCAATTGCGGTAGTGGATTGATTAATTTCATCTTTATAAAACATATAGATTGATAAATATATAATTTGTTGTAATATTATTTGTATTTAAAATACATATTTCAGGTTGATTACAAGTATTTTTGTCAGTATAAAGTAATGATTGCCAAGATTTAAAAGTAAAACTTAACATATTGCAATATTAATTTAATAGCATTATAATTTTTAGCTATTTACAGGTTTTTAAACAATGTATTTAAAACATAATTTGCTGTCTCTTAGCTTGCTTGCTTAAATATACACATTGTATTAAATCTATTATTTATAAAAATAAATAATTGCTTAAGATTTTTATTTGTATTGTAAATATAATAAATATTTTTAAGTTAACTTTAAAATTATTATATAATAATTCAATCAATATTTTACATAAAATATATCACATATATTTACAGCTGTATTATTTACATTTAATTTATGATTATTAAGTATATATTTTTAGCAATAATAGCTTCTGTGGTCGTTTTTCGTGGCATCTAAATTGGATAGTTATTTATTATTTGTGTACATTTTTATTTAAATCTAATAATACTTAAAAGAATACATAAGGCAATAAGTTCAACAGTGTGAAAATATTAACTTTTATATCTGAAACAATAAGCAATTGCTATTAATCAATCAAATACAATGTAATCAATCAGTTAACAATAATTGATATAACATGCTCAAATATTCAATCAATAATAGCGTACAAATGCTTTTATTTTATTTTCAAGTAAAATTGGTAATATTATGCAATAAATTTTGTAGTGAAAATAATATAATATATTATTCAATTTAATCGAATAACTAATATTCTACGGAATTGTGTTCAATGAAAATACATATGAATGCGTTAATATTTAAATAGAATGTTCATAACGATAATAAATATTAAATTTTTTTTCTAATTAAGATAAATTAGTATTTATTGAATTCAAGAAAACTTTTAGGCTAAGAGTAAAATTACGATAATAAAAATTAAAATGGTAAAATAGGTATATTTGTATTGTTATTTGTTGTATTATGTTAATTAAAATATTATTTTTACAGTTAATGTCAATAAATATATTTCTACGCCCATCTAATATAGGTTACCTATATTGTTAAATTTAATGAATCTAAAATATTTTCTTTTTTTTTTAACATTTAACTATTTTAAAATGTATACTTGTTGAATTTTACATACCTAATATTATTATTTTAAAAATTAGCATTATTTATTTTAGTTTTGAATTTTGAACAGTGAATTTTTAAAGTTTAATATTATTGCAAAAAAAAAAATGGATCAATTATATAAATAAAGTTTTTACATTATAGTTATTAATGCACCTGTCATGCAATTTTTGAAACGTATAATTATTAAAATGTTTTACATTTCGAAGAATATCTTAAAATAGATCTTATATTTAATATTTTTATAGAACTTTAAGTATTTCATATTTTTATTCTATTAGTGTAAAATATTACATAGCAAATGTTTTTAATAATTTACTGTATAGTGTATATAGTATATTTTAATATTTCATATGCATATTATGTGGAGTTTTTAATTTTAACACATTTTAATGTTTAAACGCGTGGATAACTATTACATCTATGCTTAGATATTTTTATTTTTAATGAAAATATATTTAATTTATTTTAAGAACTGATACAGACCACCAGCTCACATAACCTTTAAAACAATCTCCAACTATCACTGTTTGTGGCATGAAATACTTCACTGCTATATGTTTATAATTAGTTAATTAGATTGGTACCGATGATTTCTATGGTCAGTCAATTTCTAACTATCTGAAATTCAAACCTCGAGCACTAAACTATACAGATTTTTTGTTTAATATTAAGAGAGAATGTGTTAAATTCCATGTAATTTTACTAATTTTTTTATTTTTAAAATTAAGAGTGGATAAATCAACTTGTTTAGTTATTTATCACTTACTCCATCTTTACCAATAACTTTAATTAAATGTGAACTTAAAACTAACTTGACATACTGCTTATTATAGAAGACGAGTCACGTGAGTCATTTCCCTTTTTTCTTTGACTTAGAGTAATCGATATTTGGAAGAATTTGTTCTACTAAAATCATTATAACATACTAAAACAAAATACAGGAACCTTATAAACCTAAAATCGTTAGTTGGTATTATAACTTTTATAAGGATGGTCATTTTAAATCTTATTTTTGTTATATGCATCTACTGAGTATCTGGTACAGCGATGATCACCACTCGCCTGTCTGCTCAAATGCACGCGAATACCCTTTAATAATATGTGCCTTCTGATTTAGAAACTATCTTGTTAACTACAATTATATACAAACATTTTAAAGTTCTATATAATTTTTATATAAAGCTTTTAATAACCTTAACTTAAATAATTACTATATATCTGTTAGTACTAGTTTTAATAATGTTCATTGTACAATATTCTACAGTCTTCTTACAAATGTCACCAATCGGCCACCACCAATTATTTTACAGCTCAATCTAAAATTAATGCTTAGACAATTTTTGGAAAATCCTGGATCCTAAATTAAGTCATATCTTACAGATCAATAATTTTTAATTCGTTTGAATCATCAACCTCAGTCATAACTATAATTAATACTGTAGTACTTCAAAGGCGTATACTTTTGTTTGTACAGTTCTATATTTAATTATCAGTATTTAACACAAAATACCTTTATTTATAGTATAAAATCTTGTTATAAATACGTGATGTTTCAGTTTAATTATCTCAGATTATTATTTTAAACCCTATTAATATTAATTACCTGAACGATACAATTTTGGAAAATCTAATTAAACCATTTTAAATTTATCTTTACGACTTTGATTTTAAAACATGATTCTGTCGAAATATGATATTAAATAATAATTTAACTATTCCTTCACTTGATTTGGTTAAGTATTTCAGTTTTTACTTTAATAACAGATTGACCGGGAGTAAAACCACTAAGTTAAAACCATTAATCCTTAACGCTTGCCACGTGCATCAATAATATTACTCGCAAAAATATATTTTTTAGCCTACAAATTAAATTGATTGTCTATAATACACTATTAAAACCAGTGAAGTCATACAGATCATACAAGTATTGGGATTGACTGAAAATAAAATATTTTTAAAATTCAAGTATTTTCGAATATAACACTCGGTAAAATAACAAATGCTTCACACTCAGCCTTTAATTTACCTCTCTATAATAACCTTGACATTTAATTAATTGAGAATTAAAACCAATCTTATTTTGTAAAATGATTTTCTCTAAACTATGAAATATACTTATAAAACACGTGCACACGCGTACATCACACATATGCACACACACACACACATATATATATATATATAAATATTAAAAAATTATCAATTATTATTTATCTTTTTATGCATATTATATCATTATAAAAACTAATTACAACATAGTCTTAAAACATGATTAATGTAATCAATATAATTTAGAATTATTTGGTAAATATATAAATAAACTTAATATTGTGAATAATGATACTTGTAAAAATAAGATGTCAATCCATTGAAATACAAAATCAATTTAACAGAAAGTTTTTAATTCCATAGCAAGTATTTTATTTGATATTAAGTAAGTACATTTTCAATTTTTTTTATTTTTTTTTTTTAGCTAAATAAGATTCTAAATGTTCACTTTTTGAATTTTTTCAATACATTTTGAAAACACGCCTTGTTTTTAACGATCTGGATAGATACTTTTTTCTCAGTAATTAGAGGTAAAATAAATCTTCATACGATGTTAATGAAGACAAAATATTCGAATTATATGTATCATTTATAATATTATGATAAAAATAAAGTTAGTTTCTAAGGGAATACTGTTTTATGTTTTGATTGAAATGACATAGTCATATTGTTTTCACGAATAAAAGCAATCAACAATTTTATTGATTTTTAAAAAATGAAAATATAATATTATAATATAGGAAATGGAATAAAAGATTAATTTCTGATATAATTTATATAAAAACAAATAATTTAGCGTTGTAAATTTAATAATTATTTATTGGCAACAATACAATTATTAGGGTTACTTATTTAATACAAATCTTGTTCATTGACAAATAAAAAGAAATCAGACTGTGAGTATAGTAACTTAATAGTATAATTTGTATTAAAAAATATAAAATAATAATATTATTTTAACATAATATATTTTGTGTGCGTGTGTGTGTGTTTTTATTAATCTATGTTCCGCACTTTTTAATGTTTTAATAGTTATTGAGTTATATTATTCATTAAAATATTCAAATCATAACTATATCGATTTATTTTAATTAAATTAACAATAATAATTTACTTAATTTTTATATCTTCATTAGTGGTCTTTATAGATTCCTCAGCTAGCGTTTTGACCATACATGAAAAAAATACAGATTTCTCTAAAATATTATTAAATATATTGATATGTATAAATAAATAATGCATTGAAAAAAGAGCAGTTTGTAAATATATCTTTTCTTAATAAACCGAATTAGATATTTTTGAAAAAATTATTATATTTGATTTAATATATTCAATAAGTACTAAATCATTTAATTGATAATTAGTGATTTGTATTTTGATTATATTATTCACTAAAATGTATTTAGACGTTTCATTTAAATTGAATACTATATATAAATAAAATATAATTTTAAAGAATATTAAGTATGAGTTATACATTAAAATTGTAATAATGATCTTGATTATATTATTTGTGTCTATTTTTTCAAATAATATAGTTATTATATATACATAAAAATTTAATATTTATTTATGTTTTTCAGATATTTAAATATAAGTAAATTATATTTCTTAAAATAGTTGAAATATACTTATAATTCGTTACTTTATATTATTTTTGTATATTTTTAATACCTGTGTTTTTTTTACCGAAATTCCAAATCGATGATACACTTCTAAATATGCCTCCAATTGCATTTTCTACAACAACTTTCGAGGCCTTAATGATAGCAACTGGTTTGTTCGCATTTTTAGTAAAAGCTCCAATTATTGGAACATAACCTTCATCTTCTAAAATATCGTTTAATTTTATATTTTAATATACTTAAATTGACGTTTAATAAGAACTTTGATTTTTTATTAAAAGTGAAAATATTTTTTTGATAAAAAGCTAATTTTGTCAATATCTGAAATATTATAATATTATATTACATTTTAATATTTTAATAAAAAGCATAATAAATCAAAAATAACGATGCATTCTGTGTTTTTATAAATATTGAATTTTTTTGGATAATTTAAGTATTAAGCATTTTGAAGATTACGTTACAACCAATTAATTTCCTCGAAAATTTAATGAGTGCAATCTGAACGAAAAATGTTTATATTATGCGTTGTAAATGTAAGTATACTCACGATTTGATTTTGCTAATTCATCATCATACGTTTTTTTTATATTCGAAAACATTTCTTCAATAGGTTTTCCAATTGTTTTGAAGCTAGTTTGGGCTATGGCCTTAGCAGGTAAAATCAAATTATTTCCAACTGCATTTGGAATAATAGAATTTTCATCTAATTTTTGAAAAACATTAAATAATATTGAATAAATATTTTATTTTCTCAAGGCGTTATTATTAAATATTTTAAATCACATATTTTATAAAATTAATTTTAGATTTGCGAAATTGATATATTATATAAAAAATTATTAGAAGCAGTCTGTTTTTTTAGGATCATAAGTATACATTTATATTATTAATAAAAAATAAATTAAAATAGTATAATATAATAAAAATTATAGGTTTTACTCATGGTTTTTACCGTTTACTTGTTTTTTTGAATCTTTATTTAATGTATTATGGAATTCCTTTGAAAATGAATTGAATTGTTCACTTGCAATATTTGATAGCTTTTTTACCATTTGTATAGGCCTACTTTCTATCACTTTATCTATATTTTTGAAAAGAGTTGCTTTTTCTTCACCTCCGCTTTGATCTTTTGAATTTGTATCTTTAAAAACATGAACTAGTATCATACAATTATTCTCATAAATATGATAATTTAACATAATATAGTTTACAATTTATATTAAAATAATTTATTGAAGTCTGATATCACAATAAGCTTAACATTGGATTATTTAAAATAAAAACAAATTTATTTAAACTGTCACTAAATATTTTTATTATATATTTTATAATTCAAATCATATATAATTAAAATATTTTGTATTTTTAATAATTTTGAGTTTTAAATCATAGAGATTTTTTCAAAACGAAAAGTACATATAATTATTGCATATAAATTTGGAAAATCATATTAAAACTATCATTAGTAATTACTTATTAACGATGCCTTGGCCACATTCCATTTACTTTTTTCTTTGAATTTTTAATAAGTTTCTGTGTTTACTTATATAGTACGATATTAATTTTGATAAAATATAAAAAGCTATTACTGTATCAACTGGAATTAAAAATGAATGTAATAATATTTTTTATTATCCTCTGTACAAAATCGTAGAAGACTTTTTTGTTGAGTGTGTAAGAGATACTTAAATGTTATAGTCAGTTTCCTCTTTTACTTACTTTCAATAAACTACGAGTATATAACTTTTTTAAATTGTGACTACCTCAAATACTCACTGCAGAGAATGAATCGGAAAGAGTGATACATGGATTAGTTCCATGGAAATCAATGTACGTATTTTAACATCTATGATATACAGGTATATAATAGTAATAACGATAATTTATAGAAATTAAAAAAAAACGTATAATATAAAACAAAGTTTACTTATTCAACTATAATTATGTAGTTTTGAACCTTTTCGCGGAGTAATTCGACTCAGTATAGGATTACACGTCATTTACAGACTGTATCACGGCCTCGTTTATGAAATAGGGAAATTAAATTTTCTTACGCTGTTTCGTATCAATTCAGTTACATCGCAAACAAATATTGACTTTTTCTGCCATGGAAAATATTTAATCCAATCGCCCTACATCAAACATAAACAAATATCGATCGAACATTTCACATATTTATTGATAAAATTCACTGGGTTTGAAATTTAAATTATACACTTGTATGAATGTATACCCTTGGTGTATAATATGGTAATAGTCGAAATACCTACATTTGAAGTACTACGGTCATTTTCCGTGAACTACTATTAGTGTTCGAATTTAACGGTAAATAGTTGGATTTCACCAGTTGTAAGCCATTATCATAATAATAGTTTAGGCATTCATTTTAACAATTGATTTATATACTTAATATTCTATTAAATTTAAATATCTTAATACTAATAGTTATTAATTATTACTTAAACAATATTCAAATGTAATTTAGTTAATTTTGCTAATTATAAATGTTTGTTTCATGAAAAGTTTCAAATAGAGCTCTTAAAATAATAAAATATTAATTTATCTATTTAAATGTTAAAAATAATAATTCTCACCACTTTTATCAGGATAGTTTTGAGTAGTAGAATCTGTCAACTGCAAAAACTATAAGTTTTTGTTTGGTTATTAATTAATATGATAAGAAAAAAAAGTAAATAATACTTACAAGTAATATAGAAATTACAGAATAGAACTTGAAGGCTTGTGTCATTATAATTCTAAAAAAAAAAGTTGTGTTTTATTTTATGATTCAAATTAAATTGGCAACTAAAATAAATACATTTTTATTACGTTTAATTTTATACACATATATTATTTTATTAATCTGACGTATAAGATACTATTAAAATTAATTATTAAATAATTGTATTAATATATTATTACATCAATTATTGTTAAAGTTCTGGATTTATTAACCATCGACTATTGCTCTAATTTATATTATTAAATAAATACTACAATACTGGTAGAAAATATGATGAATTTATTATTTTAAATATATATCAATATCTATTATATTATAATTATTTGTAATGTTATTCTACATAATATTATTGCAATGACTGAAATCAAAAAGTGTATACATTTATACAAATACTTTAGACTTGAACAGTGTTTAAAATAATAAGGGTTTTAAATTAAGACTTATGCTACAATAACTTATTTATTTGAACATTATATACGAAATAAGTAATAAATATTATAAGTGTCAGGTTTATAAATTTTAATTGACAAGTATCATAGTCGGATTTTCAGTTGAAGTTTCATTAACGCTTATAGTATATCATGTATAACTGTTACGATGAAGAGAATGTCACCACAAATAGTAATCAGGCAGAATAAAATGCTTGACGATTTTGGGTTTACCACAAATGACAATCGATTCTTCAGTACCACGTTCTTAATTTGGAATTGCATCTGAAATTGAATATCTCTGCAGAATTTATACTACGAAAATGGTTTGTGAACAGTTAATTAATTTAAGTTCAATATCTTTTTTATGTTCAAATCATTATGCATTAACCTTTTTCAGCTTTTGAATCTTATAATGTATTCAAGTTTTAAATGAAAAAAAAAAAGAATATACAGAAGTAATATAAATTGAATATTTGATAAAAAATAAAGAAAGTAAGATATATTGTAGATAGATCGAAATTTGAATAGGTGATTAATGGAAAACAATAAAAGTTAATTTATTACAAAATAATATTGTGTTAAGTTATGTATTAGAACTACAATTTAAGTGATATTTTATTTTAAAGCCATTATACCTGTATATCCATAAACATTGCTCATTTGAAATTATTGAAACTAAGTATTTAAACACATTAACAACTTATTTTTATCTTAAAAAACCCTTTGATATGCATAATTGTTTTATATTCAAAAAATAGTTATTATACTAATTTTATGTCGGCTAAAATATAATAAATTTAATATTTTCATAAGTGAATATAAACGAATATTTATACCATAAGTATATTTATTCTTCATTTATATATCAAGTTATAAAATCATTACACAAAAGACAGAAAGAAAAATTAAAATTTGAATATAAATATATAAAAAAAAAAACCGTGTAAAAGCAAATAAATAACATAAATAATATATAAAAATTAACTATTACAATACATTTTGTCTTCATTTAAACTAAATTGATCATCAAGACTTACAAATGCAAGAGACATAAATACATAATATTATAATTATATATGTAACTGTTTTTATAATTTAATATGTATTATTAATGTAATTTAATGTACTATACTACTGCAGGCTTTCTAATTAATGCTTACTTAATATATAAACAAATAATAATAATAATAATAATGGTACACAAAGAAATAATGAAATTTATATAGCTTTTAGATTTAAAAAAAAGTTTAAGATTTATTTTACTATTTAAAAATAACAATATAAACGTACTTGTGGTAAAAAAAAACTTGTTATGTTGTCTAAGTACCAATGATTTTAAATATACGAATGACATCGATTTATATATTAGCATAACATACAATTTTGAACAATGATTTTTATTTATTTTTTCATGTCTGGGGAAGTTGAATGACGTTGCCTAGTTTAAAACAATTGTACAAGTGATGGTGTAGTATATTACAATAGTAAATATATTCCCAAGTGTTGTAAACAGTAAGAACAGTTATTATATTGGACGAAAACATATTTAATTTAAACATAACGAATGAATACATAAAATCGTCTATGTACGTCATCATTATTGAAACATATGTTTAAAAAAATGGTGAACTATAATTTGTTCAACATTTTCTATAATCGACGAATGTTCATTATTTATAGACTTGTTATATGTTTATTGTATTTATCTTAGTTTTGTGTTTGACTAAAATTAACTATATTATTATAAATCATTTAAAATATGATAAGTATTTTTAAAATATAATTATTTAATTATTTCAACAGTAATCTATAGTTAAATCATAAAAAAAAAAATATAATAACGAGTTTTTTAGATGTCTTCTTAAGTTAGTTGTGACTATTTGATTTAATACTTATATAATAAAATATGTACATATTATATACGTACATATTAGATAAATAGAGATTTTTTTCCTTTACAATCCTTGTTCAAACATTGGTTTTGAATTAAAGTCATATAAATCTTTAATTCATCGTCAAAACCATTTTCTATAATGTATAATAAGAAAATGGCGTATGAAAGAAAAATCAAAAAAAAATCAAATAAAACTCTCTTATCTTCATATTGGTACTTTTAGTTTAAAAATTGTGTTGGAATACTGACTTATACTATTATAAAGGATGATATAAATATTAAATACTCGTTAAAATTTAGAGCGTATAAAAATTTATTTATTTTTAATTATAATCTATAACTACCATACGTAATACATACGTAGGTACTTACTAATCGTACTAAGATCATAGCGTTTAGTTTTTTTGTAATTTTGTATAATATTTTGCATATTTAATTTAATTTAATTTTTGTTTTATCAATATTGGTACATATTTTGAATAATTAATAATAATAATTAAAAAAAAAAAACATCACGTTGTTTTGAATTATATTCTAAAATATATATTTTGTATATTTTACATCAGCTTACTTCCTACTATTTTCTAAATATATAAGGTATTTCTTGATAATTTGATATATTTAAATTTTTATACTGCTTAGTGTATTTTTTTTTCATAATTATTTATGATAAATTGTTTCTCTTGAATTATTTACCTCTTAAGTTAAAGTTTTTATATGCCAATACAGAATCGTATAAAAACCAATGTTAATTAGTTGTTTGTCAATTAAATGAACCGCAATCGTCTTGTCATCCGTTGCAGAATTTCGAACGTTTGACGATGTTTTGACATTGGATGAAAAACAAATTGAAATCTTACACAGTAAGAAACTCGAACGACTTTTAAATGGATGGATTACTCGTTTTGCCACAGCGGCTGTATACATATCACACGCCCTTTGATCACTTAAAACATTCCGTTCTACGTACCTGCTTATGTTATGCGCATAACCAAAAAACAAACAAATCTTACTGAACCGTAATCGCCCATTCGATTATTTATGTGCTGCGAGTCACGACTAGCATATTGATTGACATAAAAATACGGTTAGTTCGACTCAAAGATACTATCCCATTTAAGTAATTTTTATTTTTCATTCGGATGTACGTATTATTATACTTGAATCTAACATTGTATTATGTTATTAACACATTTGTTGTAAATAATGTATAATGATAGAAAAAAAAAATTATTCTTATCTAGAAAATAATAAGTATGCTCGTTTCGTGTACCATCATGATTTTGCCGTGTTATTTACGATCCAATAGTAATAAGCGTCTATAGCAAACATGCGTGGGAAACAATATCAGGGACGATTATCGTAGACTAAACAAATTGTCTCATTTTATATAATATCAAACGATGACGCTTTTTCCTTCATATTCTAGACTCGAATTATTTACTATCAGTTATTTGATTTTAAGTAAATCGCTAAGTACTCTTAAATGTCTCATGAATAAACAAATATTAAACTTTGTAGCTAAATTGTAAATTTGAACAACAATACAGTTAAACAATATTTTTAACCGTCAAAATATTATATTTCTTGTTGAGTGTGTTATTATATTTTGAAAATTATAATTATTGAATAAAAATGACTTAATTGATAAAAGTAAAGAACAAGTTTCATTTATTTTCAATCGATTCAATTATCGACTTAACTAAGCGTCGTAAATTATACACTTAGATACCTATATATACGTTATTCGAAACAACTAACAGGTGTAATATTACGCACACGTCATTACAATAATCGGCACTTGAAACAGTTCCGGTTTCGGTGGTGGCAGTGGTAATGTTGTCGCGTCGTCAGTGGAAGAAAATCAAGCCCCAGATCCGATAACAATATTACGCTAATGATGAACCGTAAAGAAAACCATGATGTATTATAATTCTGTGATTTTCAGTTTGTGTTTCGTTTTGTTATTCATAAACCGTACGCACACGGTAACCCATATAGTATAAGAAAATTAAATTTTCTCTCTGCGGGAACGATATGCCCTTGTAATAATAACAATAATAATAATAATAATAATAATAATAATAATAATAACAACCGTAGGAAAAGTATAAAGCGGGAAAAAAACAACTTCTAGTTCGTGTTCTCCTTTTATTGCTTTGTTATTATTTAGACCGTTTTTATTTTGTTCATTTTTTTTCAGTCACTTAACATTCCAATTTTGCACTTCTTTTGCACTACTCCACCACTACCACCACCATCATCACCAGCCGACACACTATATGGATACATGTGGAGTAGGATTCATTACAAATTCCATATCGGTTTACGTTCACGTACCAAAAACGAAAAAAAAGCAAAATACACATTTATGTATAATATAGTATACACTGCACACAGACGCGCGGATATTATTGTCCGACGATATTCGCTAAATGCATATGAGCCCTGCGTATTCAAATCATGTCCGTTCGATCGACGAAGTCCTTTGGGCCAAATACATCGACCGACCAACCGACGAGTTTTCATATACTAATGAAATCTGATTACAACATACACTACGTATTATAATAATTTAATATAGTAAAGACATATTCCTATATTTTATTAATACATTTATAAAATGTGTATTGCTTCAATAAAAAGTAATCGGCTTGATTGAGTTATACTATGTCATTTATTATTTAATTAAAAAAAGCATAAATTAATTTTATTAAAATATACAATTGTTAGGAAATATTAAATAAATTCAAATTATTATTGTATTCATATTTAAAAATATTAATTGCAATGATTCCATTAAATAAAAAAATCATATGTATTACAAGACTTTGCAAGTTCAAAATTGTATTAGTTTTTCAATAAACTTATAGCCGTTTTTCAATAATAGTAACAAAGTTTTTTCTGAGTGTTAGGACTATAGTTATTCCAAAATTGTAGCACATATGTTAAAATATAAACAAATAGTATTTATATGTATAGGTATACGTATATCGAAAACAAAAACAGAAAATAGAAAAAGTTTTTTTGAAAAAAAATAAATGTTTGTTTGTTTAAATACTGTATGATCTGATAGGTTATTTTCATTCATAATCCATTTTACGAATTGTTATAGTGAATAGATTAATTGTATCATTAAAAAAAAAAAAAACTTCATTATTAGAACATTGTATTTAAGTATATTTATATGTTAATTTATTTTTCATATCGTATATTAGAACATGATGGAAAAGAAAAATATGAATAATTGCGTATGTACTTGATAATATATGAATAATAGGTAATTGTTTCAGAAGATAATAACAATTTTAATAATTTGTTCTCAGTTAAAAAAAAAACAACCTAAATATTAAAATAAAGCAGTATCAACAATTTAAAAATAATTCGGTATCACAGTGAAACCTGTCTTAATGGACGCACCTGTATATACTGGATACACATTTTCTCGAATGGACAATACGATCATAATGATGGATGTTTTGATATTTCTATAATGGACTCGTTATATTACAAATGAAGACAGTAATATGTCATTCCAACAAATTGATAACGGACAAAAATCTTAGTTCAAACTCAAATAGACGTATTTATTATAAAAACGTTGCCGGTTGACACAACGCGACGAGCGATGACATGGTCAGTTACAAGGTTAATTTTTAATTGAGGAAACATTATAATCAGAAATAAACTGTCAGCATTATCTACGTTAAAAATATACAAATCAATCTTTCATCGTTCTTATTAAAAATCGGTCATGATCTGAGTTTTTTCGCAATTGTACCATCTGTTTCGCATAAACTGTTATTTGAGTTGAAATTATTCGGTGTAAAAACTCTAGCATCCTTCCACATTTGTAAATACACTGAACAATTTTGTATCGAGTAAATACAAGTGACCGAAATTTTTAACAATAAAAATAAAATTTTGCGTCTATATGACGAAAATATGTATACTATTTTCATTAAATAGGCAGAAGTCTGTAAAAGGGATACTTTTTATAGTTTTGTGACTTTCCGTTATGTATAGTTTTCAGTGTCATAAAGTAATAAATTCGTACCTTTGTTTCTATTAAAATACATGCACAAACGTTCAACACGTTATACTTTTTTGTGTATACGATAGATACATTACTTTCCTTGTAAGCTGTAACGTATACTAACAATAATACTTGTAAACGTGTTAACACATACACACACAAACACACACTACCTCGCGTGTGATAAAAATAATTGAAATACGAGTCGTAGTCTAGTCATATTTAAACTTAATTACAATATTGTAA